TGAAAATTCATTTGTCAATCAATCAATCTTGAGATATGTTTTGAGCCATGAAATTAGGTAAAAATGATGTATTTGGATCATTGAGATCATAACTTAAACCAATCAACCATTTTCTAGGTCAAAAATCAGAAATTGCACCTTCTTAGTCAAAACCCTAATTTTGACCATTTTGCCCTTTTGATGATCTGATCAAATTTCTTGAGGAATTGTGATCCAAACTTGATCAAATGACATATATGAGTTCATAATGTTGATATGGACCACAAATCATGAAGTTTGACTGTAAATTGACCATAATTTACTTTTTCCCTAATATAATTGATTTTAAGTCAACTGATCAATTGATTGGGCAAAAATGTGATCCAAGACTTGAAACTTGACATGAGCAATCTTGAGGGTCCGAAATGATCCATTAAAATCATATGGGGCATTAAAAGTCCATTTTTCCTTGTGCAAACTCAAACCCTAATTTTCAGTCATCAGTGCTAGAGGAGATGTCTTGAGTTGATCAACCCTTGTGCAGTCTTGAATCCAAGGAGATCTTGTGGGGAATTATTTGAGAAATAAGGGAAAATTTTGGGGTACAACACAATGCAAACAATTTAAAGCAAATATAAGTGAGATAAGACTCTAAGGTAACCCCTCTTTTTAAGTAAATCCCCAGCAGAGTCGCCAATTCTTTAAAACGGTGGGAGAACTGACTTGATTTAAGTTTTATTGCAAATATTGCAGATAGCAAGAGTCGCCACTGACTTTTCTTTTATCCAATAAGGAAAGGGTGAAAAGAACAGGAAAGACCTTTTAAGATTTTGAGTTCGGGGGGTAGGTTATGAAAACAGAAGGTGTTAGCACCCTTTTCATCTGTAGTTATCTACGGGCTCTTAATCGCTTAGCTCAATTTGAAAATTTGCTTTTTATGTGTGTTTGAGAATATTTTGAAGTTTAAACTTTGTAACGATTTTTGTATTGGTCCTCAAGAATGCGTACAAAGTGTTTTGAAAATATCTTTGAAAGTGTTTGTGTAAAAAAATTTGTTTTTTTCTGAGCAAGCGATTAAAAGTTCTACCCACTCAAAGTATTTATTGTAATTTTGCTTCTCCTCTAGATAATGTTATCTGTACCATTAGTTAGTAGGAATCCCTATCGTTGGATATGAAGGGACAGGCGAAGGGTCATCGTACGGTCATCGAAGGAAACTTGTAAGGACGCTTTAGCAATTTTCGTAAGGGACTAGATAATTTATCGAAAGGCAACGTCGAAAGGGACATCGAGGGACTATGATCTTTTATTCGAGGGAATTTTCTAAAGCATCCACACATTCAAGGGACATGATTATTTTTGTTCTGAAGGTAACAAGAGAGGTTATCCTAGAGGTGCAAGTGTGTGAGTGTGTTGTTTTCAATTTTTTAATCTTGAATTAGGGTTTTTCTAGCGTTTGATGAATAGTCTTTCCATACAAACCCTAATTACTAAGCAGTAATATAGCAAATATAGTAGCAGAAAAAATAAAGTGCAGAAAGTAAATCCTAAGCTATTACAGGACTTTGGGGTAATTACATAAAAAGGATGCGAGAAAGTAAAATGCGGAAATTTAACCCTAGACTATTACGTCCCATAAGCAGTTACATAATAATAAAAAATGCGAAATAAAGTAAATCTAAATTATTACGTTAGTATAAGAAAAAAGTAAATCTAAGAAAATAGAAATAAGAAAAATAGGAAATTGAATGTAAAAAAGTTTTTTGTGATTTTGTATGGAAAATAATTTTAAATGATAATAATAATTAAAAACTAAATTCTAATTAATTTTAATGTTTTAAAAAAAGTTTAATTAAAATAAAAAAATTGTTATAAAAGCTTAAACCTAATTTAATTAGTGTTAGAAAAATATTAGGTTAGGGTTTTAATTAAAAGGATTAGGGTTAATTAATTTAAAAAAGAAAATAATTAGAAAAAAGAATATTGGGGATGGGTGTTGAAACCACGCCCCTGGGTTAACAACATATAGTCCTTTCCACTGCGCCAAGCTGCTGCTGGTGTCCAGAGAATGGGCGCTGCATCAAATATATGAAAACAACTGCAAATATTGAAAAAATATGAAAAAAAATGCTAAAAGGCATAGATCGAACCCACGCTCTGGTATAGTAACACCTTAACGTGCGCGCTTCTACCACTGGGGTGGCCATACATGCGTTTATTTTATCAAAACAAAACATATATATTAAAAATCAAATCATGATGACCGGAGAAGCGCCAGAGCCCTAGCTCCGGTCGTCCTCTCTAGTGAGTATCTCTTATCAGCCTGCAAAACAGAGTACATTAGGGAATAAATAGGACCATACCCCCTAAATTGAGGGTCCTGAATCCAAATATGGCCTTAGTTTTGGCTAAAATGGCTTGGATCGTGAGCTTCAATGGAAAAACCTTAGTTCGATTCAATAATTGTAAACCAGGATTTTTACGTTATAAATTCCATGTGATGGTCGCAACTTGTTCTAAACGTCATCATAAACACATATGAACACACAAGATTAATTAATAATGCAAAAAATAGAAGTTTAAAGTCTTGGAAAAAATTACCCAACTGGTGTTCTTGAGAGAGCTCGTTTTGGGATGCCTCAAGCCTGTTGAAGGACTGGGAATGACTCCTAGGATCTTCAGGAGTGTGTTTGAGTACTTGGTTTCGATTGAAGGTGGTTGTAAATAAGGTCTTGTGTTTTCCCTAATTTTTGATAATTTTTGGAATTTTGGAATGGTGATATTGCAAGGTTTTTTTCCGTGTCTTTGTTATGTCTGAAATAATGAGAATATATAGAGATAACTTAGGTCAAGAAAGTGTGGGCTTAACCTTGTATGAAAGGCCTTGATTTTATCTTATTTAATTTTGAATTTAAATAAATAAAAATAAAAATAAATAGAATAAAAACTCAATGGGTGCATAGATAAGTTATGAGGTTCATATTGAGGCCTATAACACGCATGGACCTTGAAAGATCAGCCCACTAGCCCAAAATTCCAAGTTTGCTCAATTTAGATTTCATGTATTTTCTCATAACTTCCCAACTTGCATCAATCATAACTCTCTCAATTTTTAACATATGAAGGTGATCTTTGATTTTTTGTAAAGCTCAAGATGTCTTCTACAATCTCTATGTTGATCATGTTTGCATTTGAATACTTTATCTTGATGTAAGTTGCCTTAACAAAAAGTGTATTTTTGTTGACTTTTGAAATGACCTATAATGTTTTGTCTCATATCTTTCAAATGAAGCATTTTCTGGACTTGAGCTTAGAGAGATAAAGTTGTATAAAATTGAACTTCATTCAAAACAAGCTTTTCTTGAGAAAAATCTGATGAAGCATGTGAAAGTTGTGTTTGGTGAAAGTTCAGTTGACTTCTCCTTAAGAAAATCCTAATTTAGTAACTTTTGACTTTTGATGAATCTTGAGTTTTCTTGATGAATCATGACCAACCCCTGATCAAATAATGAATGTGACTTCAAAATCTTGATGTTGACCAAAAATCTTGAGGTTTGACTGTATATTGACCACATTTGACTTTTTATCCAATATAGTTGATTTTCAGTCATCTGAGCAATTGACTGAGAAATCTTGTGATGTAAAGCTTGTAACTTGGCATGAGCATTCCTTTATACATATGAGGAACCATGAAGTCCACTTTAGGAATTATAAGCTCAAATTTCCTTGAGAAAAGCAAAACCCTAGTTGTAGGTCTATTGCTTAGGAGGAGAATTTGTCTGATCAATTCTTGAGCAACCTAGAGCAATTGAGAACCCTGGGAGAATATCTTGGATAATGGGAGGGTAAACTTTAGGGTACAACACCTCCCGTTTAGGGTGAAAATGGATTATAGTTATCCCTATACCTTAGGAGGTTTGAAGTTCTCCATGTCCCTGATTGGTTGAGGGAAGTATTTTTTGTTGATTGGAGGAATCAGATCCTCTGTTGATGTGTCCCTTTGTGTATTTTGATCTCTTTTCCAAGTTATATTCCACGCCTTTTAGATAACATTATGTTGCCACAATTATTTCCTCTATTGAGTCTGTAGATTTTTGGGAAAGGGACTCATTGAAGTGTTCATATTTTAGACCATTTTAAATGCTCTCTAGAATATCTCTTGGTTGGGATTTATCACCGTGATGGTTGCATCATTTAAGCATACTGGATAATGACAAAAGGACTCAAAATGTCCCTCACACACGTTGAATATGCTTGTAGTGGACACTTTATGGTACTTACTTGTGTAGAACTGATGAATTAAGTTCCTCGATAGATCTTGATAGCTAGTTGCATAGATATTATAGAGTTTCATATGCTAGTGCAAGGTTGTCTCCTTTAAGATTCCAAAGAGAAGCTTGCAATTTTTTTCATCGTGAAGGTAGAGTTTCCTCAAAAGACATAGAACCATCAAAAGAACAGAGAAAAAGAGAATCAGCAAAGTGTGAATGTAAAGCTCATTTATGAATTAAATTACAAAAGTCTTGAGATATATTTTCAAGTGAGTGGCGAGTTACAACATTTGTTGTTGAACATAATCATGGTTCACTAACTCAATCAGAGATGCATTTTTTACCTTCTTATCGAACTATCTCAGAAAATGAAATTGATCTCATTTTCTTATTAAAAGAAGGTGGGATTTCTGTTAGACAAATAATGCGTATCTTAAAGTTAGAGAAATATGTGACGCGTGGATATCTTCTATTTGTAGAAAAGGACATTTGTAATCTTTATTTGAAAGCTAATAAAAAAGTTGAAGGAAGCGATGGGTTGTGGATCTTCTAAATTATTGTGAGAATGCAAAAAAGAGTTACTCAAAGTTTCAATATGCTTATACACTTGATGAATAAAAAAGGATAGAACATATTTTTTTGTCCTTCGCTTCTTGTTTTGATTGGTACGAAAAATAATGTGATGTTGTTGTATTTGATACTACATACAAGGTAAATTCTTATGAAATGACGTTTGGGATTTTTGTGGGTATGAATAACCATGGAAAGATTATACTTTTTGGATGCGCACTTTTACATAATGAAATAATGTTGGCATTTCGTTGGTTAATGAAGGTAATTAGCAACTTTTTTCCAATTAATTTGATTATTTGACCTCTTTTATTTAATTTGTTTATTTGATCATTTTTATAGACTTTTATAAATTTGATGAAGAATCAACCGAGGACTACATTAACCGACCAAGATCCATGGATGAAAGAAGCAATCTCGAAAGAAATGTCATCAACAAAACATAGTTTTGTATATGGCACATAACTTTCAAGTTTAATTATTGTTTTAATGTTATACTTCGAGACAAATATGCAAAATAGTGTTCTGATTTTTATGTATTGTATAAGTTGGAGACATGTGAAGAATTTGAGTATCAACGGTCAGAAGTTGTTGCTAAGTATAACTTGTAGACAAATAAACATGTGAAAGGATTGTATAAGATTAGAAAGTATTCAGAACTTGTTTATCTCCGTGAATATTTCTTTGGTGAAATGACAACCACTGGAAGATCAGAGAATATTAATGCATTCATTAAAAGATTCATCAATTCTCACACAAGTTTCAACTATACTAGTACTTATTATTTCTAAATTTTTGTATTGAAATTTTTTAAATTAATTTCAGATTGATATAACAATTGATGATATTAAGCAAAAAGAAGAGTTTAGAGTTTAATATAATGTTAGAAAAGTGTAAAGGGTCAAATATTAAGTTGATGTCACCATTACAGGAGCAAGCTCAAAGTGTTCTCACACACTTCTCTTTTCAAATGTTTTAAGATGAGTTTGAAATGCCCATCCAATACTCAATTCATCATGAGAATGGTAATGTATTAGTGTTGCAATACTATAAAGATGATAATACTAGAAAACATCAAGTCTTTTGGGATGGTAAAATAGCTACATGTAGTTGCAAACTATTTGAATTTTGGGGATATTGTGTCACCACATTCTTAGTGTTTTTATTCATAAAAATTGTCATAAAATCTCTTCTGACTACTTGTCGTCACAGTGGCAGCTTCAAGTATCATATGAGGTTGATGTGGTAACTAATGATCAAATAATGGATTGCACCAATGAAGCTGATTCACAACAAGCTATTCTTGTCCTCAGATTTTCAAAACAAAATGTTGTCTTAAACGAAGGCACATTAAAGATAGAAAAGAATTATCTCGTAACATAAATATTTATGGATTATGCAAAGTGAAGGACAATACATTGTTACATGCTCCTTAAAAAAAAAAGACAATCAAGAAAAAGAAAAGGTAAATGAACAATGCAGCAACTCACAAAATTCGTGGAATCACAAAAACTTTCAACCCATTAAGAGCTCTTGTTCTCTACAAGCAAACTCGTTATGAAGGAACACACGACCCCACCATGATCCTTCAGTTACTCAAACCATGCGATTCTCTTCCCTTCCTTCATTACGTTAAATCCTTACACGCAGACACCATAAAATCCGGTTCGGACACCAACGTGTTCATCGGAACCGCAATTGTTACTGCTTATTCCAAATGTGGTGTTGTTTTGGATGCACGCAAGCTGTTCGATGTTATGCCTGAAAGAAATGTTGTGACTTGGAATGCAATGATCAGTGGGTACTTCAGAAATGGCGACACTGAATCTGCTGCACTTGCGTTTGAGGCAATGCCGGGGAAATCGAGGGTGAGTTGGAGGCAGATGGTTGGTGGGTTTGCGAAGAATGGTGATACTGTAAGGGCTAGGAGATTGTTTGATAGGGTTCCGAATGAGTTTAAGGATGTGGTGATGTGGAGTGTAATGGTTGATGGGTATGCTAAGAAAGGAGAGATGGAGGATGCAAGAGAGGTGTTTGAGTTGATGCCTGAAAGGAATTGTTTTGCTTGGTCATCTATGGTTTGTGGGTATTGGAGGAAAGGTAGTAATGTGGAGGCTGAGGATGTTTTTCGAAGGATTCCCCTTCCGGTTCGGAATTTGGAGATTTGGAATTCCATGATTGCTGGATATGTGCAGAATGGATTTGGTGAGAAAGCGTTGGAGGCTTTTGGCGAAATGAGAGTTGAAGGGTTTGAGGCGGATGAGTTCACTGTTGTTAGTGTTTTATCTGCTTGTGCTCAGCTTGGGGACTTGGATGCTGGCAAACAAATTCATCACATGATAGAATGCAAAGGAATAGGTGTGAACCAGTTTGTTTTGAGTGGATTGGTTGACATGTATTCGAAATGCGGGGACTTGGTTCATGCAAAGGTGGTATTTGATAGTTACAATGATAGAAATGTTGTCTGCTGGAATGCTATGATTTCGGGTTTTGCTGTCAATGGAAAATGCAAGGAGGTTCTTGAGTATTTGCGCAAGATGGAGGAGTCAAATATAAGGTCTGATGCTGTCACATTTACCAGTGTACTCTCGGCTTGTGCTCATGGAGGTTTGGTTAGTGAAGCATTGGAAGTAATATCTAAAATGGAGGCATGTGGAATCGAAATAAACATCTGGCACTATGGGTGCATGGTAGACCTCTTGGGAAGAGCAGGGCGGTTAAAGGAGGCATATGAGCTAATAAAAAGAATGCCTTTGAAACCTAATAAAAATATTTTGGGGGCAATGATTGGTGCTTGTTGGATTCATTCAGATATGAAAATGGCAGAACAAACTATTAAGATGATTGGTACAGACTCAGCTACATGTGCTGATTCTCAAGATGTGCTTCTGTCGAATATTTATGCAGGTTCACAAAAATGGGAAAAGGCTGAAATGATAAGGGTGAACATGATTGATACAGGGTCTGAAAAGATACCAGGATGTAGTTCAATCATCCTTAGCAACTCTGTTGTTGATCAGGGTCGGCTCAACGTATGTTGAGACCTAAAGCGAAACTGTAGGCAAGGTCTTTTACTCAATTATTAATAATAATGATTTACTTACTTTATTATAAAATTTTATTAGTTATTAAAATTGCTATATTTTTTGTTGTATGTATATACTGTGTTAGAGTTCAAACTGACTTTTTCACAGTTCAAAATAGTCTGATAATATATTTAAAGATTGAAATCAAGCATAAGTGCATAACTGTAACTATGATAATATTTAAACAAATATAGTAATCTGATGTGATATTTGTACTAAAAAAAAGTTATGTAAACCCCAATAAAGGTATAATATTCTGCCAGAAACTAACTATTAAAACTTAAAACTATAGGCCTAATAGACTGGAACACAAAATGTTGTACTTTCCTAAATGCCTGGAGCCCCTAGACTAATACATTCTATAGCACTAGTTTTATGGGCTTTAGGGTTGGGCTGACTCTGGTGTTGATTCATGTATAAGTATAGAAGAAATGAACCAGCTAAGTGCAATCTAAAGAGTAGAAATAACGAAATGAATACTACTATGTCCTATCTCCAAGCCATGCCATGACCAATTGATTATTGCTTCTTCCATTAATATTCTCATAATTCTCAGTCGCTTCTGCTGTTTAATCTGTGATTCAGCTGAGGGCACGGAGCTTTGTTGTGGTAGATAGAAACTGTGCAATGAAGAAGCCACATGTGAAGTGTTTAAAACCAATGAAGGTTAACACAATGGACAGTCAGGTAGGAAAACAATGAAGGTTATCACTTAGTTTTTGTGATCAAGCTTGAAAGAGTAGCATTTTGTGAGTTAGCATGTTGAAAAGAAACAACCAAGAATGGTCAACTTCATAGCACAGATTATTTACGTTCCACACTTACAAAGTAACAAAACTGTTTTGGTATATTGATTGTACGTAGACTCTACAGATTTGATCTCTTGATTTACAGAAAACCCAATCAGGTAAAGCAGTGAGAAATTTCTGTGTTACATTACACTATTCTACAGATGCAAAAAATTGCATACAGGTAACCTTTAGATTCATTGAAAAATCCAATTATACAACTCGAAAAGATTCAAATATCTTCTTCAAATCATTGTAGTGTCTCTTCCACTGAAGCCCTGCAATTAACACAACTTTATATTATTTTCTATTATTGTTACATTTTTTTATAGTTTTTTTGTAACTGTTCAGATTTGATGCCCCAAAACTACTTAAGAGAATAAGTAAACATACCGTTACCGGTTACACCAAACAAGTAAAGGCGGTTGCCAGCAGCAGTGGCGGTAATGAAAATATGAGGAGGCTCTAGCTCAAACTGATAGTACGTTCTTCCTTCATGCTCTGCTACACTGGAACTAAGAACCTTCCCTTCTACATTTTCTCCAATCATTTCTGGACCAAATGCATTGATCACTTTGTCTGGAGGTCCAATTTTTTCTATTGTAGCATTATCACCAAGATCTGCATAGTAAAAAGTATTACTATAATCTAAAACAAGTTTCCATTTTTTTTTTCTGTTTCACTTTCAGTTATATAATCCTTGCCTCCAGAAAGCTAAAATGAGCAAAAGGAAATCAGGAAAACTCACCATCGGAAAATCTAAGAACAGGAGCAACTATAACAAACAGACGTCCTTCCTTAGGGTTGACAAATCTCAAATCTATCTCTGTGCCACCAAGATCCGCGATTGATACGGGTACCTGTTAAGCAAATGTATGCTTTAAGTTTACATAAAGCAAGCAGGCATAAGAACAAAAAACATTTACAATGTACTCTAGATGATCAAATGTGAAAAAAACTCTCCCGATTAATAAAAAACAAGCTCTTCCAAAAAACTGTCCACTCCAAGTTCTAAATATTTTGGGACTGGTTGAGGCATGACTCAAATATTTATAGGATCATTTTCCAACATCAAACAGAAGAGTTCATGAATCATCATCACCTCTTCCCATTCTTGAGGCACCGAAAAGGTGTATGGAATAATAGGACTCCATCCAACACCATGTCCTCCTGACTTCTCATCTGGCCTACGATATGTCCTCCAACCTGTCTGGTCAAAAACTCAACTATATCATTTCTTATCACTTCAAATCCATTCAAACAATTAGACAGATGGAATTCAGATTTGAAAACATGCAAAACCACAATGTTTAGAACTAACTTCAAGTCTACAAATGGAACCATCAACACAAGTCTACAATAGGAAAAATTTAATCTTTGATGAGGCAAAGTTAAGGAACCTTCTTTATCTGGCTCAGACAGACCAGGAATTCTCCCTGCTAGAAGACCTTGTTTAACCACAGCTAAACTAACTCCTGGAAAACCCAACAAGGAAATTCCAGAACCCAAAACTGTTCTTCTGTTCACCAACAAAGATCTTGTACATCGATCACTCTCTTCATTGATTGGAAAACTGTCTTTTGAGACTGAAGCAGGTGCGGTTCTTGAAATTTCATTTCTAATTGAAGATGGTTGGATATACACGTGCTGTGGGTTTCTTCTCCATGAAAGCAGAGTGGTTGTGGACAAGGCTGTTGCCATGTCCAGAAAGATTGATGAAGTGCTTATTAAGAAAATTTAATTTGATGATCTTAGAGAACTAGATTTCAGAGTAAAACTAAAAACCAGTGGAAAGATTAACGTGGAGATTGAGGTGCAAAGGCTAAGGTTACCAAGTACTGTATAAGATTTTTGTGGATTGGATTGTGCCACTGTGTGTGATTTTGTGAATCCCAATATTTCTTTATTTGAAATGTTTTATTTTTCTTCCAAGAAAACTAGCAAGATATATGTCTTATCCTACGCTTCGTTTGAATTTTTATTCCACGAATACCAAACTTATCATTAGTAAAATTTGAATTTATTCTTTAATTGGTCAACATTCACATAATTATGAATATAAGTTAATAATTTGCATCAATTTTTAAACATTGATTTGTACTTATAATAAATTGTAGAGCCGATTTTCTAATTTCAATTATATAAAACAACCACAAAAGAAAGATTTAAAAGATGGACATTAAAATGAACATTCTATTGTTATTATCTCATAGATACGTTGATTTATGCCTTGCAAGGACCTTCATTACAATGAACAATCTACTGCTGTTAAAATGACCCCTTAGATTAATTTACTTGACCAAAAGAGCATAAATCTTTAATATTAATAGATATGTTCACGTTTATATGTGGATTTATGCCTGCAAGGACATTCGTTACGATAAACAATTTACTGTTGTTAAATTGAAAAATAAAAAGATTTTTTAGATTAATATACTTGACCAAGAGAGCATTAAATCTTTAATGTTAATCAGATTTTGTTAAAACGATTCTACAATTTAGTCAAAAATAAATTTTGTAGTGAATTAATATAAAAAACAGTAGCAAAGAAAAAATTTAAAAGATGAACATTAAAATGAATATTTTACCGCTAGTATTTCATAATTATCTTCACATTTATCCGTGAATCTATATTCGCAAGGACTTTTATTACAACGAACAATCTACGACTGTTAAATTAAAAATAAAATAGAATTAATTCTTTAATGTTATGACAACACTATGATTTCTATCCAAAAAAATTAATCATTTACTAACATAATATTTTCTCACATGGTACGTTTTATATAAATATTTTACTCACAATAATAACTTAGTGTATAATAAATAAGATTTCACTATATCACAAAATAAAAATAACAAATAAGTGAAATTCTATCAAATAAAAATAACAAATAAGTGAAATTCTATAATACTATTTTGCATATTGTTTAGTACAATTAGTATATTTTTAATGTGCATTAATTATAAATTTTAAGAAATTTCATATATATTGTTTGAAATGGTAATGGTAATTTCTCAATAAATAAATAAAATTAATAATTATTATCAATTAATTATATTTAATTTTTATTTATACTTTTTAAATAAATAGTTTTTAAAATAAATAATTTCCCGGCGCAAGTATCTTGAAAAAGTAAATTATTATTGTTTATTTTTTTTTATGTTAATTAGTTTTGTTTATGTGATGTATGCACCTAAAAAAATTTCGTTATGACGAAATTCTATAAAAAAATGATTTAAATATGTGATAGTTGAAATTTTGGCACTTGTAATATAGATGTTAAGAGTGATGTCCTAACACCAACACAATATCAAGATAAATGTTATGACATCATTTGCTGACAGAAAACACTTGTTAAAATAGGAGATTATGCATAAATTAAATTGCAGAAAGATAAACAACACAATCAATTGTTAACCCAGATCGGTGCAACGTCGCTTACTCTGGAGACTACCAAGACAGGAAGGAAAATCATTATGATAGTATTAGTTCAAAGCCTAAACAATCCTAGTTTATAATTTATCGCCTAATCACTACCTTGTGCAACTTCTACCTAGACACCTTCTAGATATAAGATCCCCCTCTCACTTCCAATCACCTCAGTGATACCTACAATTACAAACCAGTGACTACAAAAAAAAAGAACCAAATAGAAGATTACACTTCAAATAAACAATACTCAAATTTTTACTTAAAAGCTCGCGAGTGAGAACAATACTTTGTTTTGCTTAAAACCTTTAAACTAAGAACAGTCAGTAAATCTCAATGTATCAAAGATACATGAGTGACATACAAATAAAACAAAAAGACTCTCAAACCTAAACTCTTATATTGCATCCACGATTTTTCTTGTTGAATGCTTTCTTTTTTAGGTTTAGCACGTCCTTATTTAGACTCTTGCAGAATGGGCTTGAACTCTTCAATCCAATCAAATCTTATAATTTTAAATAAGCTGTAATATCTTCATATAAAAACAGGAATCAATCTTCAAAGTTTCCTAAAAAGTCTCAAGGATCATTTTTAATGAAACCAAATCAAATCTGCATTGTTCCTAATAAAATCTTCTTGACCTACGAAAATCAATGAGATATATCCAATATGATCTCACAAAATTAAATCAAATATGTCAAGAAACATAACAGCAACACCTGTTGTACAACAGGCCAAGATATCAAGATATTTGTCTTAACATCTGTCTGGTATACATGATAGCATAACCTGTCATGACAGTTGGTCAAGATGTAGTGACATCTTGCTCAACATCAGTTAAGAACCATGTTTTAGCAAAACTTATGTCAATCATATAACCATGGATCTAAAAATCTCCCCCTTTGGAAAATTTTGGCTAAAACAACCTTAGTATACAAACCAGAGAAAGGAATAAAACCACAACCATAAAACACAAGCTACATGCAAAACATGTAAACTTTGTACAAACTGCAATAATAAAAATTCATCAGAGATTACATGCAGTTACAGATCACCATCTTTATAACTCAAGAAGACAGATGTCCAGGCATGTGGTATAAAGTCACATGACACAACTCCAACACAGCACAAGAGCTAGACAAAAGAGACAGGTCCATTACTCCCTCTGTCACATATAACTAGTACTACCCCTCAAAGGAAAACCCAAATCACTAGAAAATCCAATCTACCAAATATGAACTATCCAAGTTCACACAGCAGAGGCACATACAGCAGAAGATAAAACAGCCTCGCGTCAGGATTTCCACACAGCTTCAATAGGCGGGATGTTAGAACATCTAGTAAGATATCCTGCACACAACCACATCAATAGTAACAGCAACAACAGAAGCACAAACAAGTATGACAGACAATCATGTTCTCCCTAAATAATTTCATACAACAAGAAACCACAATAACTACTCTCCTATTATCAATAGTACAGTCATATCAGCATGCTAATCAATATGTCAAGGCATGTGTCATAACATAAGGACAAAATGTTAGACGATGTGATCGATCTAGAAGGGGGGTTGAATAGATCGTTTAAAATAATTTGTGCTTTTTGAAATTGTTTTTTAGAAATATATGCGAAAGCTCCTGAAATCTTCAATCGTCTAAATGATCCTTTATTGAAAAGATCAGATATGCGTAACTGTATGGGATAGAATGACAAAGTAAGAATCAGTGCATTTTACTCAATTAGTCAATCACTTATACACCCTCAATAAATATGAATTACTTCCAATGAGTTGATTAAGATAAAGCTAAACACAATGACTAATTTGTGAATGAGTCAATTTGTCAAACATCTTATGAGCAAAGTACCATAGGTTTGATTTTACTGAATTGTAGTGGTGAGTTTTCTTGGGTATCAATCAAAAGGCTTGTTACCAATGTTGTGAAATGATCTCAACACACCACAATTTCAGTACATGCAGATTTGACAAGTTAATTTTCACAAATTATAGTAATCAAGTATAGAGATAAAGAAAAATAAGAAGAACACACGATTTGTTAAGGAAGTTCCCCTTGTCGTCCTCGCGTAGGGTACGTCTGCCCCCAATTCTAGAATCTAGAATTGAGATACTTGATATTATGTTTCAAATGTTACAAGAGAATAAATAGTTCACAATACATACAAACCAATGTTGCTAATGTAACAGTCTTCTTTCCTTTCCTTGGTTTGATCAAAACCAAGTGCCAAATACTTCGAACAAACCTCTGGTTACCGCTACATAATTAAGTAAACCCACTGTTTCTTAATCCTTTCACTCGACTGATTTCGATCGCAAGCAATTTGACCCCAAATCAATCTTCACAATCCTACGGTTACCGCTACTTGATTAAGCAAACCCATTATTTCTTAATCCTTTCACTCGGCTGAATTTAATGAAGCAAAGACTTGTGCAAAAAACCCCACACCAATAGGATTCTTGGAGGAGAAAATCCAAACGATTTTATTCGAGAACAACCCATAATTTCTCAACCCAAATCTGAATTGAATCCTTAATTTGAACGTTATCACCACAACACTTTTCGTGAATCAACAACCATGATTATGTGTAGATGTTTATTTTTGAGAAGAGAAGATGAAGATGATGAGCACTATGTGTATCTTTCACTGGTTCTTGTTAACTTGAAATGATGATGCACAATATATATATATATATATATATATATATATATATATATATATATATATATATATATATATATATATATATATAATATATATATATATATATATATATATATATATATATATATATATATATATATATATATATATATATATATATATATATATATATATATATATATATATATATATATATGTTACCTAATAGTCAAGACCCATAAGCATATCAGAAAAACAGATGAAAGCAACGAGCGGTCGACTCAAACAGAAAGGGGGCTCAGCGCGACCCAACTCGCAGAAGAAGGAAAGACATTTTGAAGTGTAGTGGGTCGACCGCTTCAGGAGTCAACGCAATCTTTGAATATCTTTATTCCAAGGTTGAGTCAACCAGAAGGGTCAATGTGACACATCCAGCAGGTGGAGGAAAAACCATTATGAAGTATAGTGCATTGACCGCTACAGGGCTTGCATCGATGCAATAGTTGAAAATTTTGATTCCTAGGTTGAGTCGACCGAAAGGGTCGAAGTAACACATCCAAGGCTTGGTTGAAATTGATGAGTCGACCGCACATATCTTTGACTCAACAC